GATTTTAGGGTTACCATTTCTATAAGGGCCTGTGTGTTTTTTATTTCTGAGAGCTGGCATCTTGTATTAGTTGTTGCCAATGAGGAGAGAGAGTGTATGCAGCCAGCTAGAGAAGTACTGAGCATCCAGTGTCCTTTTTCAGAGCGTTAGGGTGTTTTTGTACAGCCGCTTTTACCGTAGTTGAGATCTCTAAAATATTCAGAACGTGTTAGTCAGAAACTATCACTACAAAGAAAGAGAAGCTCATTTGTGGGAGCTGTTGAGTGTTGTGCTTTTATCACTGTAAGGTTTTTGGTAACTTTGCCAACCCTCTGCATAGCATAGTGTTATGTTAGCTACCTAGCTAACGTTAATGTCAAGTTATTATTGTCATAGAAGCAAAAGCTATGCATAGTGCGTCCATAATTAAAGCGCTCCCAGCAACCTGCCACCACTTTTCTGATCCGATTTCATGGCTATTTTTCTGTTGTTATTTTTGTAACTATGGCTCAGCAAGATGAAATCCCCGTCCTCAACCCTGCCTGCAACGCTTCGATTGACTCATTTGTTTTTGCAACCAGGAAAACAGCCGTCAGTGAGCACGACAACAGCCCAACCTGTGTGAATCACTGGAGAAAAGAGTAATAGCAGAACGTTTTACAAGTTGCACCTGAGCTTCTGTCGTTTTTGTGGCTCAGATACTAGTGTACATCACAATAATGCTGCTTGTGTGTGAGCATGCATTAGTGTTTCAGCTTTCTCCAAAGAGAAGATCAGACTGACCTTTGCAATAATTGTAAGATAAAAGATGACAGTTTTGGCTCCACTTCTAATGTGCCGGTCAGATTTATGATTAGAGTCAAAGGCCGCCGACTACTGCGCATTAAAAGCTTTTGATTTAAGGCCTGATGTAACATAGTCCTGTTTTATTTTTACCTTATCTTCTTCTATCAAGTTTTATCTCCATGTGTCTGGAGGAAGTTTTACTCAAATTAGCTTGTTATGGGAAATATTACATCACATTTTTACTTGAGGGATGTTGCTGAAGCTCTCTTCTTGAATGCCTGGAAAGGGGCACAGCTGTAAGTCAGAGCATGAATTTGTAGTTTGCCACCATTAGAAGCAAAGATCCAGGATTTTAAAAGGATTCAGATAGATAGATATATAAATAAATGTCTGTTTCAGTGGATGTGTCCTGGATAAATCAGGGCAGTGAAAGAGGACAGTGTTTATGATTCAACACGTCTCCTGTGTGCACAGAGCGGTGGGTTAACACTTGGGTGCCTTGTTCAGAATGGACACCAGTTATTTCTAGCATCACTCTCTGTCTGTCTGTCTCTCTTTCTGTCATGGGCAAACACACACACACACACACACACACACACACATACATATACACACACACTTGATCTTTCTATGTTCCCTCTCACAAAAGGCTTATAATCTCCATTTCTCAGTTGCTCTCCATTTTGCACTTTATCTCAAACACACTATCTCTTCCTCTAATATCAACAGCCATTTGTGATGTCGACCTGGCGTACACACACACACACACACACACACACACACACACACACACACACACACACACACACACACACACAAACAAACACACACACACTGATTTTCCCCTGATCTCTCACTCAGCCACTCACTTAATGTCTTTGTGCTGCCACTCAGTTTAAAATGAAATGTTGATGTGGTCTCATGTTTACTAAACGGCTTCACCACTGATTTTATCCATACCAAATTATGATAATATCCAGTATCTCCTCTGCACCCTTTGTCCTCCTTTACTCCTCTCCTCTGTTTCCATTTTAACTCCTCCTTAGTCTCCTACACCCCAAACTCTTTGAGCAGATGAGTTATATTCCTCCTCCGGGTTTACTCGGTGGCCAGTGGGGCATCCAAGGCTCCAAACAGCTGTTCTATAATTATACAAGCAGCAGGAGGCAGACAATCAATACTCCTTTTACTCTTTTCCTCCACCCGGGCGGCCTGGCGGTTAGCGAGGCCGCCCTGTAATCAGAAGGTCACAGGTTTAATCCCTGCAACAGCCAATGTGTCCATCAGCATCCATGCGCTGTCGGAGTGTCCTTGGCAGTGACATTGCTCACTCATCTTCTGACTGCTTTTTAATTGCTTTAAGACTGTACATGGGAGGGGAGTTACTGCTGATAAGATGACTCTCTCATCAATTACTAGAAGTATTTATGTTTGAGAGCTCTTAAATATAAAATGTTTAGTGCATACATCTGTGTGAGATGACTGAGATTACTGCACTGTGATAATTGGATGCAAAGATAGGCAGGCACATGGTTGTGCTCTGCTTTATAGCACTTCACCTTTACTTCACACCCACTGGGGTCAGGTACTGTTCACATTTGAACTGATACTGCTGCTTCTCTGCTTTTTTCTAATAACTAAGTTTTTGTCTGTTGGCTCTTGTATGTGTGTGTGCGTCTGCTTGTCTCTTTTGCTCTCTGTTCAGACACAAAATGACAAATATGTGGAACAAGTACATAATTTAAAAAACACAATCACAGACCCCACTGAAACTAGGCTATTTCTAAAGTAAAACAGAAAAGATAATTGATCAGACAGACTGAAATCATCAGTGCACAGCGATAGTTTCAGCTCGCTGGGAAGGCGATGGATCTCCATGGCTGGCTTCCCAGCTTCTGGGCACTTCATGGTGCTGTCACATCCTGTCTGAACCTGGTGTTCTCACCCAGGTGTGCTCTTAGGCACTGAAATTTGGCATTAATTGATTTAAGATGAATCGGTACTCTTTAGTACTAATGTAATGCGGTCAGTACCCTTTAAGCTATCGAGTAAGGTAACCCAACCCTAACACCTACTGTATCTTAACTAACCTGTTAAAGGGGCTGATTCGTTAGTTGTATTTGTATTAAATTTGCTTAAGAAATACTGTACTTTAAAAGAATAGTTTGACAGTTTGGGATGTGCTTATTTCCGTTCTTGCCGAGAGTTAAATGAGAAGATTTATACCTCTGTCATGTCTAAAGTGACCAGATCCCAACGATTTTGTTCTGCATCTGTTTTGTTTACTAATTTAATTACCCATTTTACTGTACTGATTAATACTGTTTTCATATGATCAGTTGTTGATTTCATTCACTGTTCTTTAATCGTAATTGTGCTTTGGCAACACACCTCAAATGTTATGCAGATAAAGCCTATTGAATTGAACTGAGTGGGACAATATGGGACATGTTACCAATGCTGAGAGCTAGACTAATATTTATCATAAAATGTCCATCTAACTTTACAAATAAATATTTTTCTTCTGCTTGACATGTACTTTGTAGCTTCACATCTAGTCCCCTGTGTGAAATTGAAGAATAACTAATTACTAATAATTCTATTAACAAATTTCACAACAAGAAAACTCTCTAAGAATCACCCTCCACTGACTTCACACAGTTATGAGTTGTTTCCAAGTCTTCATATTCCGCCTTAATCTGCATTGGCACTGACTTTGGTGACTCGAAATATTCCCTGTTGGGCATCGCCTATACAACAGTGACAGGTTCACCTGCACTTGACCCGCGTGTGAGCAATTTGATTGACATCAAATGCAGCCCCATGACAGCTCCTCTGCTTTCCATGCAGCCATAGGATAAAAGACAGATTTTAGAAAAGCGTCTGTCCTGATTTGTAGTGGTTAAAAAACCAATCAAAATGTGAGACATCATGTTGAAATGTGTCATGCAGGACATGGCATAAAAATGCAGTGCAGTTCACAAGCGGGTCACCTGGTCACCTTACTTATGTCTGGTTATTTAATGTAAAGATAGAGCCATCAGCCGCTTAGCCTGGTTTAGCCAAAGGACTTGAAACAGGGGAAATAGCTAGCCTGGCTTTGTCCAACAAAATCCGTCCAGCAGCATCTTTAAAGTTCTCCAATTACCATGCTATAGCTTTATTTTTTGTAATCCTTACAAAAATGAGTGTAAAGACAATTTGTGGTTTTACAAAGCGAGGCTAGGTCCTCCTCTTTCCAGTCTTTCAGCTACACTAAGCTAACCAGCTGCTGGCTTCAGCCTCGGTTGGTATTGATCTTCTCATCTAACTGTCAACAAGAAATCAATGAAGTGTCTTTATCAAAATATCAAGCAGTTTATTCGTCGATATTTTATATCATTGTGAAACTAGCATTAGCATAAGCAGATAAGATTTGAGCTTAAACTATGGCTGAGTGATTTTAGAAATATAATCTCTTGTAGGATCGTTAACCTCGCTGAACAACTTTTCATGCAGAAATTTAAAAAGTTTGTATCATGCCAGGTAAAGAAATGAGATGGAGGCTCAGAGCTCACTCCACCCTGGTCTCAAGTGTTTGAGGTAATTGTGCCAAAGGTTTCAAAGCTAATTTGTAAAAGATAAAGTGATTTTTAAAACCGCTACACATCGCACCTTATAATTGGAGTCTTATTGTCTGTTTAGAGGTCAAAGATGTCCTGCAGTGGTAATGAGGAGGTTCAGAAGTTGAAGTGATCTGTTCAGTAATCTGCAGGCATGCTGAATGGAAGGATGTGTGTGCAAGCCGGAATAATAATGCGTGTGTCTGTGTGTTCCCTACCTGTCCTTGGCTATAAGAGCACTGAGAAAGTTGAATTTTCACCTTGAAAATTCATTAATCTGCCAAGTCCCTGAACAATGAAAGAGATTTTGCCAGTAGGTTGATGTAAAATAAACTTGTTACAACGTGTTGGTTGAACTGTCAGCCATAGGGGGGCATTAATTAGGTTTTTCTCAGTTGGCATAAAGAAGTTTTAGGTTTCTAAACAAGATTTTAGGATGCAGTCACACACAGCTACACTCAGTCTGTCTAACATGGACATTTTTTTCCCAGTTGCTGCTGAAAGCTGCATTTTAACATGTCAGTGAAGTCTTCACTTGCAGTTTCTCACATCCTCGACTGGCAAGCGGCATGTTTGATAACTTTTATCTCCTCTGCTTCTTTCCATGGCTCTCTCCTTTAACCTGGCTCCCAGGAATGCAATAAACCTCAGGTACCGTATCTATTAACAATGTTGCTTGTTGTGTTTACTATATGTGAGTGTGTGTGTGAGTGAGTGAGTGAGTGTGTGTGTCCTGCGTCTTCTAGCTGTCTGTGTTAGTGCTTCTGCTGGTGGTTTTTATCTGCGTCTGTTCCCCATTTGTCGTATCTGTAGCTTCTGGTAGACTCCCTTAATAAATACCTTCCATTTGCCGGCGTGGAGGCTGATAAAAGACGAAGAGGGAAGCCTGCACTACACTCCAATTGCATTACCAGGACATCAACAGCAACATGAATTGAATTCTTTTAGCCCTGATAACATAAAGCCTCCGTCTTCTGCTTCCATACATGTTATCCTGCTTTTGATCTGAAAAATGAGCATGCCCGGTTGGGAATGGACTTCATCACGTCGCCGGGTGATGACACAGAGACGATAAGCATCACTCCGGCGCAGCTTATGGGCCTGTAAACTGAGATAATGGCAACAATTTAGCTGATTGAGGTGCGTCATATCTCAAACGCTGTGCCTCTGTGCTGATGTGCTTGATAATGGTATTGACTGTCTTTCGGCTCTATGGATTATTATTATCCCTGCTGTGTGGGTGTGGTTCTGTTGGGTCTTGATGATCTACGATGGTGCCGTTAATGTGCTAAGTGTTTGATTATGATGGCTTTGAAAGACATTCATCCAATGCAGCTATTTAAAGACGAATCCCCCCCCCCCCCCATCAGTCTAGAAACAGCACACATATCACATTTCGTGACAGTCGTCTGCAGTGTCCGAGCAGAAATGGATGTCGAGGAAGAGGTTGAAAAAGATCAGAGCTCAAGGTGTTGAGCAGTCAGACCTGCTGAGAAATGGGAGAGCGGAGAGAACAAACCTGCCACTCTCGGCCGCAGAAAAGCCGAGCTCCTATTTTTAGAGCTGTCCTTTGTGACAACCTGCTCTGCTTCAGCTGTGCAGATACAAAAGCCTCAGTTGTGAATAGACATTGTGTAGGAACTGCAGCGGTGAGAGAAGAAATGCTTCACTGTACACTTCTTTTTTTTGGTAGCTTTCTTGCCTCCTGCATTCCTTCATCTTTGGGTGTTTGAAAGTATTCAGAGGAGCTTTTTAGAGCTGCTGCTTACAATTATTTCATTTTAAATTAATGTGTCACAATAAAAGTCAATCATTTGGTTCATAAAATGCTATAAAATAATACCACATTTTCCAAAACACAAGCATACACATTCAGATTGCTTGTTTTTTCTATAAAAGTGATTCAGTTTACTCTGATTTGTGAAGCTGGAGGTAGTGTATGATTGGCATTCTGTGCTTGAAAAGTGACTGAAAATTTAGAGTCATTAAAAATACTCTGTGATTAGTTTTTTTTGGCCATTGACTAATTGTTTCAGCTTGAGAGCTTTTACGCTATTTTTAACTCAGTCGCAGTGAAAAAATGTTATTTTTATTTTCAGTTGCATCTTTCTTTGTTGTGTTGAGTTGTGCCTCGCTCTCCCAGCTCAGACACAGAAAGTTTAATCTGTGTTTATAGTTATTAATAGCCAAATATCCGACTTTGATGGAAATAGAGCAGATATTTTCGGGAGCGTTCGTACTCCATAACGCAGCTGAAATGTGGGCCTCGTGCGAAAGAGGGAAAACAAGCTACTCATTTACAACCGGCTGTGGTTCATTTTTCACTCGGTGTTATAGAACACGCTTACTGACATTTGATTTGCTTTTCATGTCAGTTTTGACATTCAAAGACCTTTTTTTTCTCCTAAAGTTGAGTATTTTCAAAAGGGTTGACGGATGACATTTATTTCGATGGTAATGAGCCTGCATGGCGAGGATAACAAAGCGCATTGTTTTCGCTGTCGTTGTTGTTTGTGTCACTTAAATGTGATCAAAATCTCTCGTAGCAGAGCTGTTTGATCTGTTCGATACTGAGCTGGTGTTAGACAATGCTGCAGGAGATACTGGAGATAGTGTTAATGATTCTTGTTCTGCTTGTGTGGTTAGGTAAGGGGTTAAATTATGTTTTGTATGAGTCTAAAAATAAAATTTGTCTCGCTTCATGTTGGGTGCACGGTCCCCTGGATGCATTTTAAAGCTGAGAAAGACTGGAACATGAAACACTGTGATCATAGTGGATCTGTGGTTTTAGTTCAGTTTGAAAGAAGAGACTTCACATGATATTATTGTATTTAACTGTTTGTAACTCGGAGATAATATTGGCCATGATGTACTTTCCTAACATAAAGTTGCACGTGATGACCTGTTAAGCTGTAAAACATGATATCAGTTAACACATCAGATCCACATGAGCCATTATCGCTCACCCAGAGATCCATTTCACCTGACGCACCTTCCATCAAATTACACAACAGAAGCAGTTTTAAATCCCGACATAATGAGTCATCGAGGAAATATTCACTCTCCACTCTGGCTCTTCCCTTTCACACATCGACAGCTTGTGATTATCACTGAAGTTGTTTTGTAACCAAGACTTGTCATGTACGTTTTGGTGTGGCCTTCTTCCCTCGTGGTCGTATTTAAAGCTACCCAGCACTTTGTGGATATTTGAAACTCTGTGATGGCTCCAGCTCTAAAAAATGTGTTGCCACTGCATAACATCCTGATTCATTGAGGTCACTGTTTGTGGGAAACTGCCTGTTGTGTGATGGATCTCATCCTGTGTGGGTTTTTGAACAGCAGTGCAAATCATGTATTAACACTCAGGGTTCAACAATAAGGAATGTTCAGGGCAAGTAAAATGCCACGTCCGGCTGGTTTTAATGGGCCGCTAGTAAATGTAGCAACTCACTTATCCAGTTGGGTAAGTGGTGAAAAAGAATGAAACACGTTGTTTTTTCTGGAGCTGGTGATGGAAGTAGCTAACGAGTGAGCCATCTCGCATCTTTCTCATCTGCACATGCAGAGTACAGACAAGGTGCTTCTGAGAAAATGGCGCCAGTTAAGGATAAAGCTTATGAGCTGAAGTGCATCCTGGAAACCGTAGTTTAGTTGGGTGGTTGTAGTTGTTATTTGATAACCACTAATAAAAGAAGAATCTGCATAGGGGCGAGTCAAATTTCAAATCAGGCAAGTAGATTTCTGACATACTTGACTCACCGAACAAGTTAAAAAAAAAACCAGCGTGAGGGAGTTTGCATGTCCTCCCTGTGTCAGGGTTTCCTCCAGGTACTCCAGCTTCCTCCCACAGTCCAAAGACATGCAGGTTAATTGGTGACTCTAAATTGTCCGTAGGTGTGAATGTGAGTGTGAATGGTTGTCTGTCTCTATGTGTCCGCCCTGTGATAGTCTGGTGACCTGTCCAGGGTGTACCCTGCCTCTTGACCAGTGTCAGCAGGGATAGGCTCCTGAATGAATAAATAAGTGTTTTTAGCTGTCATGGCTTTATGGCTGGTAATGTTGGGCTGTCCTTTGATTCACTGCATTCACCCAGACTGAAATATACCCACAACTATCAGATGGATTACTGCAAAATTTACTACAGATATTCATGATCCCCCACAGGATAAATTCTACTGACTTTGGTGAGCTCCTGACTTTTCGTCTTGTTGCAACCATGGCGTTAACATTTGTGATTTTGAGTGAAATGTGTCAGCAGTTATTGGGTGTATTGCGAAGAAGTTTGCTGCAGATATTTGTGTCTCCCTCACTATGAACCCTAACTGTGGTGATCTCTTAAATTTTCATTTTAGTCCATCATTGGGTCAAAAATTTTATTGACTTGAAGATTATTGGTGTTTGACTGAATGCCTGCAAAGCTAAAGCCAGTTCCATCAGTCTTGGGTGCAAACTGTGTTTATTTTTAAATTTAGGAATGCTAACACACTGAACTAAAATGGAGAACATGGTCAAAATTATACCTGCCAATCATCATGTGAGACGCATGCTGTTTTCCTTTCTCTCAGTTTCTTTCTGATGTGGAGAGAAACAGGAACATAGGGCAAGAAACTTCACTCTTCCACACACAGTTAAAGACTTCCAGTTCATCACCTTCCACAGTTAGTCTATAACCCGATCCAGAAACCTCTAGTGACTGATCAACCTCACTCTCACTTGCCAACAATCTTCCTTTGCCACTTATTCTCCAGGAGCTTCTCTTTTCATTCACTTTTTTTTTTTTTTTTTTTGATTTATGCACCTTGTAGCAGGTGCAGGGGCACGACAGATGTTTCGCCCCTGTGAACCTACAAGTGTAATCTTTTAAACGTGCCTGGCTGCCTGTGTTTCTGCCAAATTATTTTCAGAGCAGCGTGCAGGTGACAACAGCTTGATAAATGAAATAATCCCTTGGGCTGTAGCGGCTATGAAAATGTAGTCTCTTTATTAGATCATCTTTCTCGTTCTAACAATGCTATTTAGAGCTGCCGTAATGGGACCGGCTTCAAGGATTAATGCAAAGCGCTGGCAGTCAGGAGCGCTGTGTTTCCTCCACGTTAGGCCTTCTGTTGGCTTACAAACAAATTCAGTGAACAAGGATAGACACAGATCAATAAATCAGAGTATGTTGAGTTTGATCCCATAATAGCCAGTGTCTGTGAGAAGTCATGTGTTCTGTGGAAGTTTTCGTGATGCTGAAAAACTTCCCGCTCCTTCATTGCAAGTGAAGTCGATGTAGGAAGCTTCTTTGTCTGCTGATGTAGGATTTAGTTTTGTTTGTTAAGATTCTGGCTGGTTGTTCCTACAGACTCTCAAATATAAAGTGCTATTTTTTCTGGTTTTCTTGATATCCTGGTCTTCTTGGTTGGAAATTATCTCCGGTAAAGTGTTTCATTTTAAGGAGAAGCCTTTTCTATTCTTACTGCAAAAAAATCCCATGAAAAAACAAAACACGTATTGGTCCTACAAATAAAAATTGTCTGTGTTTTCAAAGCCTATATATGTTATTCATCTGTGCCCCATTGAAACACATAATTCATCCACACCACGGTGACACGTTCCTTTACTGTAGTTTGTTTCCTACTCCTAGTCCTGCTGCTGCAGATACCAGGGCT